ACTTATTTCTTATGTCTTTGTTAATAGTCGCAAATGGTTATTCAGCAACATGTCATTTACCTTGGGCTGTGGATCATTTACGCGCGCGTGCACACACAACACACGTTTTAGGAATAGGTGATCAGACTGGTCTTTAGCCTAACTTGTGAGTAGAGGTTTTGGTAGTGTAGCTACAGTTTTTAGCAGTGAGACTGTCTTTATCTTTTCCCTTTCCTCTCTACCTCCAAGCAGTTTTTTCCTCTAAATTAGTCCTGCTTTCTTGCAGGATGTGCAAGATCTAATATGATGCTGTGTAAGGTCCTGAGCCTTAGTGAATTGGAAGCTGATTCTAAGAAGATAGAATTAAGGTTATGAAACATGTTTATTATAATTAATGCCTGCACTAGTATAACAATTGAACTAAGTCTGAGGAAGAAATTTATTCTACTGGTGCAGTGGTGCTGAGCTCTATCATCATTGTAATGGTCTGACAGATTTTCCAGCTTGCATAGGGAAGCTCTGTTGGAGCAAGATTGTGAGCCTGCCCTTCAGGTGCTGCTTTGACATTACCTCTTTTTCCATGGTCAGCATGTGTGTCCAGGTTATCTTCCATCTTCCATCCATTTTCTTTCCTTTTCTAATTAGCTTGGAGTGATGCATTTGGAAGATACCTGAGTTTTCTCTGCTCATCTCCCAAGGAGAGATTTGGATTTGGGACTGAATCCTCTTCATTGTAAAAGGCACTTTGAAAATTCGATCTGTCGTTACTTCTGGGAGCAGTTTTGCTTCATCAGTTGCTGCAAAGTGGAGTGAAATATCCTGCAGAGATTATCCTCTTCCCTTCCAGATTTCCCTCCAGAGAATCCAGGTTTTAACATAAACTATGAAAAAAAGTGTTTAAGTTAAAAATGGCTATTCTGAGTCAGGCCAGTACAGTGTTTCTTCCCATACATCCTTGCCTGCTTTCTATAGAGTGGTCTTTGGGGTACAGTGGTTGCCCAAATCATGGCATTTTGGGGTACAGTGGTTGCCCAAATCATGGGGGTGTAGAATAAGAAAAGTTACCTTTGCACCTCTTAGATTTTTTTATAGTGTTTTCTACCCTCTTTGTCTTGGAAGGCCTTAATTACGTATACATATGTGTGTGTGTATATATATGTGTGTGTGTGTGTGCGTGTGTGTTCTACCAAATTCAGACAGCTATATTTAAGCAATATAGCAGCTAAATCTATCCAGCTAAACTCTGGCATAAATTTTTAATGGGTTTATGCCACTTGAGTAAACTTAGAGTTTAAAATGTTTAATAACCTGACCTAATTAACCTGTTTAGTAGGAAGACACAAGTAGATTCTGATGTTTTCCCTCAAAACATATTTCCAAGATGTGGCTTTTTTTTTCTTCTAATTTATTATAGGTTACAACAATCCACTGCAGCTATCTGTTACATATGAGTGGCAAGAATCTGTCTAATTGCAATCATGTGCCTAATCTGAAGCAGACTTCTAGCTTTATTGCTTGTTCTTGACCATTTTAAGAGAGTATTTTAAATGCAAATGCTAGTAACAGATGAGAAACATTGATGACCTTCAGTAGAGAAAATAATGCCATCTTTAAAAAAAACTGTTATAGATGTTCACCATTTTGTATGGTTTGAGGACTCAGGTCTGCCCAAATTAATTTTTGCCATTTCTGTAATGTAGTCTTCTGGCTCCTCATAAGTCTGCCTGTGTTAAGTCCTCTGACTTTAATGCTTTGGATAAAGCAAAAATATGAACTAGTTGATGACACAGTATATGCATTTGTAGTAAGTTTTTGTGACCCTATCTCATAGCATGTTCACTTGTTTGTTTGCTTTTTCTCCTCCTTTTTTTCTTGTTCTCCAATCCAGCTTAGTATCACAGATACTAAAGCACATTATTACAGATATAAATGCATTACTTTGAGATAACCTTGTAGTTGGATTGCTGTAATTTTGAAGAATCCACTATTTAACTTGTAGTGTTTCTGCTACTAATGAGCAAGACACTGAAGGCTGCATTCAGTACGAGCTAAATCAGTGTCCTTGTTTTTGAAATAGCCTCTTCCTGTTCTGAAAACAAAGAGCAGAGGAAATTTTGAAGATGCCTGAGCTAGGAACTTTTGCTAAAAAAGAGCATGGTTGTTCTTGATGTTAAGTACATTGTCTCCTGAATAGTACAGTCATGAATTTACTCACTTTGTTCTTGGACTTGGAGGATGGTGCCAACTTTTCCTTTCAGAGGTTCAAGAGGAAACTTCTGAAATGGCAAGAACAAATCCAGGGTCATTGGTGCCAAAGCGTTCTTGCTGAAAGTGACAGAAACTAATGCAGAGTATATAGTCTGGTTCCCTATTATATACCTGTGTTAACTTTTAAAGGAGCAAAGTCGGTGAATGTTATCCTAAAGAACAGGAAAAATACAGAAAGTTCAAAAATATTGAGTAAATGTAACAGTGCAAATTTCCAATTAAGTCGGGTACCAAATGAAAATGCAACCTTATTATCTATGGATGGATATTCTTCATCTGCTCACTGACTTCCATTTTTACATTGCCCATAAACTCTTAAGTCAATTCTCAGTTCCTCAGCCCTCAATGCTCCCATGGAGTAAAACCCACAAATTCCCTCAGCCCTTTCCCTTGCTCCCACCTGGCACCTCCTAGTTTCCCCCATGGCAACATTTTTAGTTTTATGCCATAACCCTCCAAGATTTTCCTCAAACCCTGCTAAATGAGGGGAAGAAATAGCAATACTTCCAACTTATGTTTGTGCTCCTTGGAGCTGGCAGTGTTTTCCAAAGGTCCTCAAGGCCTTTTGCAGATCCTCCTTCCTGCTTCTCTGGGTGTTGGCTTTATGGATCCGAAGGAGTGGATTTGAAGTCACGCTGGCTGAAGAGGTGCGGTCCGTCCCGTTGGTGGCAGGGAGCCATTAGATTAGTTCCAGGGCCGCCGGGACAGCAGCCTAGTAGAAATCATTTTCCTCAGGGTGTGGAGAAGGAGAAAAAAAAAAAAAAAAAAGCTAATTACTGTAAAAAGGCATTACAGCATTATCTTGCAGCAACTTGATTCCTCCACTAAATGTAGTTAGCTGAGCTCTGCCTAGTGTGCATTTGTGAGCTGTTTTTAATCCTCTCAAGGTTCCCATAGAGCTTATAATGTACAGGTTAAGAAGCATGGGCTTATAAATTACTTGAGGCATAATAGATCTAGTCCAACTTCTGAGAATTAAGAGTTGTTAAATGTTAAAGTTATAAATGTGCATAGTATACTCCCCCCCCTTTTTTGGGGGGGGGGATTTAAAGCTTTTTTTATTTCTTCCTTAAGTTATGTAGGGTTTTATTGGCTATTATTTACTGTCTTGCCCATTTTAAAAACTTATTTAAATATATGTGCATCTCCATACTCTAGAGACTGGGTTCAGAGGAATGTGACCTGTTAAAAGGATGATTTTTTTTCTTGTTTCCGGATTTCGATGTTCCGGATGTCAATGCAGACAGTTTTACAGCATTCCTGTTCCAAATCTTTCTGCTTTTAAAAAATTTAACTCTGTAATGCTGCTCCCTTTTAAATTAACACTGTGCTAAAACTAGCTCCAGAGGCAGAAGAAGATAGGGAGGAAGGGGATTTTGAAGGGTAAAAGCAACTCTAAATATTAATACTAATTTCAGATTTTTTTTCATAAAGAAGTATTCTTTTTCTATATATATATTAAACTTTATAAAGCATATTTCCTGACAAAAATCTATGTTACAAACAACCTCTATGTATGTGTATATACATACATATATGGACACACATATGCAGCATGTGATAAATAGTGTTTGCTTTGAACTGGTGAAGTGTTTCTCATTGGTTGCAGCTGGTTATCAGATTTTGTAGTATTTATATGTACATATGTATTAAAAGGATTGGTTTAAAAACTTCAGTCATTATAAATTGTGACTTGCATTTATGAATATTTCCCCCTAATAATTTTATTCCTCTGTCTGTCTATATTTGAGAATAAATATTTCCAAGAGAAGGGCTTTTTCTCCACTTAGGTTTCCAGCTACAGCTTTTTCAGTTAAGGGTGTGGTGGTTTTTTTTTTTGCTGACACAGTTGTGCTAGAAAAGGCTCTTGCATAAAAACAGTTATCATGGAAAAAAGGCTTTTGACATTAGAGTTTATCTCACTTGGGAATGATAGTGAACTACACCAGAAGAGAACTGTTGCTACACTGAAGCTTTGTGGATGTGAGCAGAGCCTTATTTTTTCCATAATGGCAGGGCAGCCTGTTGTGGTTTTCTGTGTCTTTCTGGTTTGTGGAGCCATCAACCATTTTCCCAGCACGTGTTCAGTTTACTAGTGCAGATAAATATTATTTGCTATCTGATTTTCTATTATAGAAATTAATATTTTCAAGTAGACATTATAATGTATCCAGACAGTAGGGATAATGTTATATAGAGGGATTCTTGGGGATGAAAAAAGGAAACTGCATGTGAGCAATGCAAGCTGAATTTTTAGGCTTCATTGTTGGTGGTTTTGTTACAATATCAAAAATTGTGCATTGATGGACACGTGGTAGAATGAAGCTAAAATAAAAATCTGTTTGTGAAAAGGCCTTTTTGTTTGTTTGTTTTGTTTTCTTTTGAGTATCTTCCCAGAAATTTGTTGTAGGGTGAGCTTGTTTGGGTGATTCTTATTACTGCAGTTAGCGCTTGACAACTACATGGGAATTCTGTAACTGTGTATACAACTTGAAGACCTCCAAGTGGTTTAAATGAATACTTTTATAACAGATTTGGATAGCATGTATGTAGTATATATTTGCATATATATGTTTATGCATATATACTTACCTACATTTTAAACTTGTATTTTTTAAAAATCTCATATTTCTCCTTAAAAAAAAAAGAAAGAAAGAAAAAGCTCTACACAAATGTGTTTTCTGTGCTTGGGCGTCACTCTTGAAATAAGAGACACAAATGAAGTTCTTTAATTTTGTCCTCATTTGTTCCCCCTCAACTCCACAGGATCCTTAAAGCTGTGCTATGAACGGTGATTCTGGTGCAGCGGTGGTGACTTCACCACCTCCGACAGCCCCTCATAAGGAGAGATACTTTGATCGAGTTGATGAAAATAACCCAGATTATTTGAGAGAGAGAAATATGGCACCTGACCTTCGCCAGGATTTTAACATGATGGAACAGAAGAAGAGAGTCTCCATGATTCTTCAAAGCCCAGTAAGAGAAGAAACGTCTGCCTCTTTTCAGTATTAAATATTCTCTCTCTTTTCCATATCTCTATATAACTATCTCTATAAAACTGAAGAATTATATTACATCTTAAACCCATGTGATTTGCCTAGTTGGTCTTTCTGTTCAAGTATTCCTTTGTGGCATGATTTTCTCATGTTGCCTGGTTAAATTTTTGTTGTCTCCTCAGTCTCGTTTTCCTGAATTCTCTGTTTAACCAGGGAACTTTAATAAACTGTGAGTGATTGCAGTTTGATATTAAAGAAGTTTCCCTGAGGGATGAAAGAAGCAAAACAAAACTGTTTTCATAACATTTGTTCCCTTTGTATAACTGGTGGGTGGCTTGAGCCATTTTGTGACATGCCTTCGTTGTGAAGAGGGATGTAGTGGTATAGCTAACTGTTTTTCAGGTAATAACCCATTTTATTTTGATTTATTTAATGATTGATTGAATTTTTATTACACAATTCTAGTGTTCTTGTCAAAAAAAGCAACTAGTAATAGTAAAAAATCTTTTTGTTTTCCTTTAAAAAAAAAAAAAAAGGTAAACAAATTCCTAATACAAGCATGGTATTAAATGCTGCTGGCTGTTCCTTTCTCTGTTCCCGAGCACTCTATTAGTTCTTGTTTCCTTGCTGGTAAGTGTCCCAAATTGATAACTTTCCTTCTCTTTTCTGGTTCTGCTACTTTTACCTTCAGACTTCATGCTCATTCAAATTGGTTGTACTTCCTGCTTCCCCAAATCCCTATTGATAGGCTCTGAGTTTTGGTATTACTTGCTGAACTTTTGTTTAAGGAGAGAGGAGGGGGAAGTACCCATATTGAAAATGTTGCATTTTGAAGTTGCAAGTAATAGTATGCATTCATGAATTAGTCCTGAGCTGTTTTGTAGAAGAGATGTTTCCATCAAAATGCTAAAAAGTGCTTAACAGTATTCAATCGTGTTTAACAATATTCGATCTCCTGTTTCTAGGCTTTTTGTGAAGAACTGGAGTCTATGATCCAAGAACAATTTAAGAAAGGGAAGAACCCAACAGGCTTATTGGCCTTGCAGCAGATTGCAGATTTCATGACAACAAATGTACCCAATGTCTACCCAGCAGCACCACAAGGAGGAATGGCTGCCTTAAACATGAGTGAGTGCTTTGTAACATAGAACTAGCAGTTTGGGTTTTGTTTCCTGTCCTGCTCACTGGAAGACTGTTAGCATAAAATGAATCAATTCAATTGCTAAATGCCAATGATACAAATTATGCACACAAATTGCCTTTCTTATCAATGGCTGTTTAATCTTAAAAATAAGTCTGATAAGTGAGCAATAGTTGAAAGTCTAAACATTTAAATACGGCTAAAGTTTATTGGATGGATTGTCTGCTGGTAAATACAATACTCATTAATTATCTAGTAACAGTAGAGGCCTTTTAGAAACTAGTTATTTTTGCCTTTGCAGTACTCCTTAGCTTTGCTTCACAGAAGAAAGGCACATAGAAAAGCAACATCATGAAGCAAAGCGGAAAAAGGAAATGCGCACACGTGCACACACAGGTGTTGGTGTGCTTCAGAGAGCACAAATCCCTGTCTGTGCTCCAAAATGCAGCTGTACTTAGACTGTAACATGGTGTAGTTCTACTCTACCACAGTTTCCCCAAATCATGTTTCTAATTGCACTGTTGTTTTATATATGGTATTTCTAATCATTACCATAATCCTATTTTCTGTAGGCTCTGCTTTTTTTTTTTCTTTCTAATTGAGTGTATATGAATTTGTGATTCTGTCTTACTAGATACTTTTCAGGAATACGGTATTACTTATTTAAAAAATGAAATAATTAGGTTTGCATTTTTTTAATATCAATCAATAGCTTTATTTTAAGGGTAGTGCCAAGTTTGAGAGAGGAATAAAAAATATTTTAGTAAGGAACCCCCTTTTACCTTGGCATTAATGAATAATAAGGAAGGAAAACAATTCTGATTATATCCACATTAAATGATGTCAGTAATCACAGATACATTTCTGCAATATAGATTATAATGCTATGGTAATTAAAATTTGCTGTCTATTTCTTGGGTTAGTAGGTTAGTAATAGTATGCGGCCTGCAACACTGACACATGTTGTTAGGTCTTAACAGATGCAGATGCTGAGTACATAACACTTGTGTGTTTTCCCCCCCACCACCTCTACCCTTTTCAGGTCTTGGCATGGTGACACCAGTGAATGATCTGAGAGGATCAGATTCAATTGCTTATGAAAAAGGGGAGAAGTTGTTACGATGTAAACTGGCAGCTTTCTACAGATTAGCAGATCTCTTTGGCTGGTCTCAGCTTATTTACAATCACATAACAGTGAGTACTGTCTTAACAACAGATAACTGAACCAATTGTTTTACCGTCCAAGAGAATCACCCCCTTTCCCTGTCTGTCACTTTCTCATTGTGTGGAAGAAGAGCAAGAGCATTGAAAGCAGGTTAATAGTGAAGAGATTTGTCATTGCATCTCAAGCGTAAGAGCTGAACAGCTTGGATGTCAGCCACTGCAGTCTGAATAGAGTCTTAAGAGCGTACATAAAGTTCTCGAGATGAAATTAAGGTTACTGAAAGACTCAGTCTTCTAGTATTTTAAATGGTGTCTCTAGTATGTAAGGGAATATCTTAGCTTGCTTTCCAAGTGCTAAATTCCTTCTTATTAGCCATTCAGTTGAATTTTATTGAAAATTCTCTACCCTTTTTTTTTTAAAAAACGCCATAGTACTTCTGAACATGAGTGCGCTGCTTAGCATAGCGCAGCGTGCCAGCTATTTTCCTTATGACTGAGTAATCACTGGCATCCATAATAATAATGACAAGGAGGTCAAATCAAGGAGGTTTTATATGCAAGGAGAATGATCAACATGCGTCTCATGAGTAAAGTCACAGCTGTGGTGTAAAACCCAGTCTATTGTTTTCCCAACAGAGCTGAATTGTTTTTTCCCTATATAGTGGTGTTGCCTAGAGCAGTAGTTAGGACAATGCCATGTGATTAGGAAGAGATTTATCAAGTCGACTTTCTTCTAGGGGTGATGGGGGAAAGCACAGGAAGATTAAGTATTAATGTCAAGGTGGATGACACAGTCAAAGCACCTAGAGTATGAGATTTGGACTGTATTTTAGACAGCTTTTGAAGGGCGAAGTAGTATTGGAAGGTTTGTGGTTAATAATTTGTTACCAGGTAGTCACAAGCCATAATTCAGCCACTTTCAAAGGGTATGTATAGCTTTACAAAACAGTTTTATCTTTGTGTTCCATATGCCCATATGTTGTGTAGCCTTGTGGTAGAAGGGCATGCCTTTGGACATGGCAAATGTATATGGCTTCTTGCAGAACTGGGTTTTAATTCCTGGTTTTCACTGTTGGGTGCTCACATCTCTAGGATATTGCTCTCTGAATCCAGTGACACAGCTTAAACCTAATCACCTCTTTTGGTAATTGATATTCTGAATTGTAGGGGTTTGTAGGAGTTGGAGCCCTTCATAAGAGAGGCTGTGCTGGTTGTACAACTGATAGGAATGTGCAATTCTCATGCATTGCACTTTGTAGTGGAGAATTTAAGATGCAACATCAGAAGAGATGGAGGTGGCATCAAACATGGCGTAAGATAGGCCTATGCCTCACCCACTGAGTTGAAAGAGTTCTCTGTTTCTTCTAGTGTCCTCTTTGGAAGACTCTAGAAAAAGCAGTTGTTAACAGTAAGATACGGTTCATTATCCTTTACCGAAAATGGACTTTAGAGCAGACCATTCAACTGATAGTTTTAAGAATAGGAGTGCTATGGAAACCTTTTATGTATTTGGGTATTTAGAAAATGTTACCTTCAACATCCGTATTTTGACAAGTGGGGAAAAAGACTTTAAGAACATGCTGAAGTTAAACTACTAAAAAAATGTGTGTTGTCCTGTCTTTTATTTCTCCTTTATCATGCGAATGTACTTATCTCTTACTCCCACTAAATTATATTGTTAAAAGCAAAAACTGTTTGTCATAATAGTGAACTGTTAATTTTGAAATGACTAGGACTGAAACTGAAACCATCTATCTGCAGGCCGAAGCCTAAAAAGTTGAAATGTATTTGCTGCAGGAGACCAACAGTAGTTTTGCTTTCAGTAAAAAAGGCCGTGCCTGATAATTTTGGATCAGATCTCCTTTTTAAAACTTTTGCCCTTTGCTATATGTTACTTACATAAGATTATAGTAACTGCTGTTTCCTTAAATAGAGTTGTGAAACAATGAAGACTCCCTACCAATTGGGTGCTTTAAGCAAATTACATACTGATGTCGAAGAAGGATATACCTTGTACACCAGAGAGAGAAAAATTTACTAGTACTGTTCAGAGATTGACAAACAAATGTTGGCAGTATTGCATTTTAGATTGCTAATCACTTATTTATTGTAGATTTTTCACATGTAAGATATTTGAAATGTTTTAACTCTCCATTAAGAGCTGCCTAAATGATGTAGCCATCCTGTACTTACCACTGTATGAACTTGAACCAGATGTATCCGAAGCTATGAATGAAGTCAGAGTTATTCGTATAATCTAAATTCCTGCAGGTGTGAATTAGACTATAGAGAAAAATCTTAAGTGAGGAGTGGGGTACTTAGTAGAAAATATGCAAGTAGGCTGTAGTCTCACAAATGTGTGTCAACATGGTGTCAACATTGGGGACGGAACACAACTCAACATCAATATCTCTTAAATCTGTTAGCTGAATTCTTAAATTTTTGCCGCCTTTTCTATGTCATTCCTCATATTTTATGTAGATATAAATACACTGGAGTATAAATTTGTTTTTCTAAAATAGAGGAACTTTTTCATGCATCAGAGAGAATTATTTCCTTTATCTGCAGTAATCTAGTTGTTGTTATCACAGAATGTAAAGATTACCCTTGTCCACAGACCTGAAGGACTTTGTTTTGCACCTACCATCTGGTTCTATTTGACATGGATTAATTATTATCAATTATGAGCTGTATATTGATTTTCTGTTACAGTGTACATAAAAGTCACATTGTGTATGCTATAGGAAGACCTGCTAATTTCATACTCCAGACATAAAAATAACTTCCGTGTCACCACGTGGTTTGGTTTTGGAGCCTTGTATTGTATGCCTAAATAAAATGTTTTTAACTTATATTTTACTCTCATTTTATCCTTAGGCCAGAGTAAATTCTGAGCAGGAACACTTCCTCATTGTACCTTTTGGACTTCTCTATAGCGAGGTTACTGCATCCAGTCTGGTAAGCACTTATTTTTCACAGCTGTAAAAAATGAGTAGCTGGATCTTCTCTGTCTGAATGTCTGTAGTTGTTTAAATTCTATCCTAAAGCATATTTTATTTTCTGCTTTTTACATGTGTAGGATAGTTTTGTTGAATATGATAAATTATTTTGAAGGGTGCTGGCTTTTTTTTTTGGGCTGTGAGTTTATTGATAATTTAGTGGGATTGTTTTAACAAGGATTGAGAGAGTGAGATAGAGAGCACAGTATACCAAGCAAATGACTTGTTTGTATGGCTAGCTAATGATTTTTTTTTTTAAACAGAAAGTAGTATAATTTTTTTATGGAGCACCGCCAATTCAGTTGCTAAAATAGTATCTCAATCATCTTGTGTGGGGTTTGTTATTGCCTGACAAGGTACAAGGTTAAAGCTAGCTGAATGCAGTGTGCCAAAGGGCCCAGCTGCTGCTTTCTATCTCAGTCCACTAGATGAAAGGCTTCTCCTTTTTCGTTCTTCCCAAGTCCAGCCAGCAGCCAGGCTGAGGGTGAATCTAATCGGCAGAGGCATGTGCAGACACACACCTGGTGCGGACACAGTGGCCATTAACAGACAGCTCAGACAGGAGCCCAGGATAGCCCCAAAAACCACAAACAGCTTTTGCATAAATGTGAACAACATGAGCAGCCTGATCCTGTTACTGCTCTCCAGCTAATTAGGCTCTAGAGCTCGTTGGTGGAACATACACAAAGCCGTGTTTATTTAACTTGTGCATCCTCACAGTCACAGGTATCTGAGACTTTGGCCCAGTCATTTAAGCCCATCCAGCCAACTCTTATCCAGTCTCTACCTCAGAGCTTGGATCTTTCTGGATCTGGCCTGTCAAAGCTCAACAACTAGTATGACTTGCTTAGAATATACACCAGCAGAATGGAGAGTGTGCTCACACAGCAAGCCCTTGCAGGAGGGTTTCATAAGAAAATGGACTACAATGACAAGGAGCAGGTCTTAGCTGGATAAGCATACTGAGCAGCAACACGCTTACACCACTGTCCCTTTTGATTCCCCTCCCTCTACCTGTTCTTCTCATGCTTGTGTTTTCCTTAATCAGTTTTGGTCCACTTTTTTTTTTCTATGAAAGATCTGTGAAATCCAGCCATTATCATACATGTTTTTACACTTATTAAAGTAGGAAAAAAAAAGTATGATTTTGAGAGCTTTAGGGGTAGATGGTGAATTAAACCAGATTTCTGGCAGTTTGAATTAATTATGGAACTGTTTCTTTTCTTTGCCAGGTTAAAATCAATATTCAAGGAGATGTGGTCGATCGCGGAAGCACTAATTTGGGAGTAAACCAAGCTGGCTTTACTTTGCACTCTGCAATTTATGCGGCTCGGCCTGATGTTAAGTGCATTGTGCATATCCATACCCCAGCGGGGGCAGCGGTAAGCACACTTTTTATTTCCTAGCCACAACTGAAAAATAAGTGGTCCTCTGTAATCACTGAATTGCTTCCCTGTTGGAAGACAAGTATTCAGATCTGCTTGATCGTTACCACAAAAGATACTATCTTTTGACAGTAAGTCATAAGAGCTTTACTAGTTTTTCTAGTGGTGTAGTGTGACACAATTCGGCAAGTTTCTCTTAAAGATTTGAAAACTTGCTGTGGCCTGAGTATAAAAGGCAGCGGCAGCACAGCCAAAATCAACCGAGACAGGCTATAATACTCATCTGAAAAATGCCATGGATGAACACATGTCTGGTTTTAATAGATATCTGGTTTTATGTGTCTCATAAGAACAGCTGGATATAAATTAGCCGTAGCCCTTTGGATTTTTTTCCAGAATCATTTTGTGACCAAATTTCTTGTATTCTTCAGAGTAGTTCTGCTTCTGTTTGTTGAGGGTGTGGGGTTTTTTTTCTTTTTTTTTTTTTCTTTTGGGAGGGCGAGAGGAGATGTTGTTTGTTTTTGTTTTAACTGAATTACAGCAGCAATTTCAACCATTTCAAAGATAATTACATGATTCCTAAAATTATAATGTCTGAAAGTTCACATCTGTAATTCTTGATCTTCACCTGCAGTGCTGTGTGGAATTACCGGTTTAAAAGTCGGTCACTCAGTTCCTTGTATTTGGAGGGGGCGGGGTAGGGGAAAGAATGGATGTGAAAGGAACGAAGGATTTAGTTCTTTTTGTCAGAGGCTTTTCATGTCTATGTTGGTGTCAGGTCAAAGCAGTCATGGTAAGTCAGACCCAAGATCAATTTAACTTTTGTATCCTATCCAAAAGCTGTGAAAAGTGTAAAAACAGCAAAGCATATAGCAGTTATTGTTCAGGATGTGCCCTTATTTTGATTTGTTACTTTTGAGAAAAAAAAAAAAGAGTTGTTTTAATATTTTATTTCTCAGGTGTCTGCAATGAAGTGTGGTCTGTTGCCAATTTCACCTGAAGCACTTTCCCTAGGAGAAGTAGCTTATCATGACTACCATGGTATCTTAGTGGATGATGAAGAAAAAGTGCTCATTCAGAAGAATTTGGGACCTAAAAGCAAGGTCTGTAGTTGCAGACACAATCTGAGAACTGTGTGTAGGTGGAGGGGAGAGCATTCTTCAATCAGTAGCAGGGTGGGATGGGTACCTATATAATTCATTGTGAATACTTGCCCTATTGCACTTACTTTATTTGCAATGTTTCTCTAGGTTCTTATTCTCCGAAACCACGGCTTAGTATCAGTTGGAGAGACTGTCGAAGAGGCGTTCTACTATATTCATAATCTAGTGCTTGCCTGTGAGATTCAAGTAAGAAGTTTAGTATGTTATATAATCACGTAGTCTGTTACATTAATTGCCTTAACTTTGCAAACAGATGAATAGTTGTGCACGTTAGTGGTTGAACTCTCCATCTAAACTAACCCAGTGATTTGTGAAATCATTGTATTACGTGGAAACTTGTGAACAGGTGAACTGGAACCACTGCTTTGATATAACCTGCCTCAAAACAGACATGCTGTCAAAGAATTAAAACAATTTTTATACAAGTATTTTGGCTTAATGTTAAAATAGAGTAAATTATTCTAATTTCTTGATGATTCTTACTGGAAAAAAAAAAACTAAAAGATGGCTTAATTGTCTTTAAGGTACGTACCTTGGCCAGCGCAGGTGGACCTGACAATTTAGTACTATTAGATCCTGGAAAGTATAAAGCCAAGTCTCGTTCCCCTGAGTCTCCAGCAGGTGAGGGGACTGTGTCCCATCCAAAATGGCAGATTGGCGAACAGGAATTTGAAGCTCTTATGCGAATGCTTGATAATCTGGTAAGACAGGCATTGGTGTCTAATTGTTTTATATGATAATGCATGAAGTATTTTAAAAGCCGAGAAAAGGGATGTGAGTTAAAAATGGGCATGGTAATTGCAATAGTTTATGCAACCTGTAGCCAGCTTCTTCCCAGATCTTAGGAAAGGAAGAAGAGGAGGTAACATGAAAAGAATGTTTCAGGTGTCATTTGTGAAGATAGTTGATTTTCTTCTGTATTCATAATCTGGTAGCTGTTGGTGACATCAGAAGGGGTGTTTATTTCATGTGAATTGGCACTTCCAAGTAAGAATTATTCTGGTGTTTGAGCTTTTTTCCATTCTGTTCCCATTCCCCTCTCCCAAAATGTGTAAAGCTGGGACGATTTTGATTTGATTTCCAGTAAGTTTGATTATTTTTAATTAAATGTTAATACTAATAAAATTAGTAAAATTGTTAAACTTAAGTCATTTTCAGATAAAAGTGTTTCAGTAAAGCCTCATGTATAATGAATGACCAGCTGTTGACATTTGCTGCCTGAGGAAGATGATACCTTTGCTGTCAGAATACCCCAAGGGTGGCTGTACTCACCCTCAGGGTGTTGAGCAGTACTGAACAGCTCATGTAACATATGGGCACAGTCATAATCAGATTCAGAGTATCCGGTTTGTGATTTAATGCTTTTTATTTCTCAGCATGGGGTAAAATGTGGGCTTCTCAGTGATGTGATGCATGTGTCCCTGATAATGATACCTAGAACACTTACTACCACATCTCTTGTATACTAAATAATTAGGGTTTCTTTCCACCTCAGATCAGATAGCACCTCAGCAGTGTACTTCAGCAGTGTTTAATGCATAGACCTTTTGCAAAGCAAACTAAGGCCACTACTTGACTAAAGTTTCTTTACAACAGGTTTTGTTTATAAAGAATTTTACTGCGTTGGGAAATAGGCTATTTGCACTGTTTATCTTTGAGCCAAACAGCAAATATTTTGTGTTTGGAAGTGTCCTAGAGAAACTATTAAATATACTTTTTATATGTAAAATGATGAACAAAACAAAAGGAAAATGTGACAGTAGTGTTAGGGTAAAAAAGGAAACAAAAGATAATTTAGAGGAAGTAGAAAAGAAAAACAACGTAGGAAAAGATTAAGGAGGGGAGAGAATGTGGATATAGTAGTGCGGCTGTTTAAAAAACAAATCCTTTGTATAGAATGTTGGAATAGAATATTCCAACATAGAATATGCTGGATTTGGAACTGCTGGAAAACAGAAGAAACCTTTTTATCTACCCAGCATTTTGTATCACACAATTCTTGTTGTTGTTGTTGTTTGTTTGGGTTTTTGTTTATTTATTTGTTTTTGTTTGTTTTTCCTCCCCTTTCTCTTTGCTTTAAAATTGTGAGAAACAGCAGATAATACATTTGAGTGAAGTAAAATAAAAATATAAATGAGAAACTGGAACATGGTGTAAAGGAAAGTCAGGATTCTG